AGTTATCAATGAAACTAAAATTGCAAAAGGCGTGCAATTGAAGCCTCCAGTTTCGAAGAGTGGCTCAGGTGGAATGAAAATGTTGTCAAATTTTAACAAAGGGAAGGATAATAAAATAGAGAGAGTTGCCGAACGACCACGCCGCGAGAAAAGTGTAAGAGTCACAGTTAATCATAAAGACCATTTTCCGAGTAGAATGGCCTCCAAGAAAGATGATACCAATAGTGGTCAAACACATTCTGAGGAACTTCAAAGACAAGATGGCGAATCACGTTCAAATGTTAGTACTTTACCAGATTTGTTTCCACCTCCTGACTCAACGAATAATATGATTGAGAGCGTATCTAAACCTCAAAACAATTCCTCCTCAATAGTTACTACAGTCGATGCAGTTGATGCGCATGCGCACTCTAAATCTAGTAGCTTACCAAAAAACATAATTGCCCGTCCATCTCAGAGTCCGAGGTATGACCCAGACAAAATGGATTTTGTCAACAGAGCGTATGTTATTAGTCAGGCTAGCACTGTTGAAAAAGAGGAAATATTTGTAAAAAGGACGAACTCCGGTTGTCACTATGATATCAAAAGAAGTGAATCTTCATCGTCATTACACGAGGCACACTTCGACGAATATAGGGACTCAGGTACGAATACAGGAGGGAGTCAGCCACTGAACGGATTAGTGATGTATGGGGAACAGGATGGTAATCTCAAAGAACATGATGAAGAAATATCTGCAATATCAAACGAAGTTGATGTAGTTCAACAAGGCGTGGATGACCATGAAAAGAATATATGCGACACTGCTTCGTGCAATACTGTTGTAGGTTTGACAAGTACAGGCAAGAAGAAAAATTCAAATATTGTGCCAGGCACTTTAAAATGGCCGTCAAAAACTCCTAAATGCGTTCGTGATAGACTTGTATTTTATAATAAAGAACTGTCTCCTATTTATGGGGCAACATGCGAAAGAATACTCTTGAATAACAGAAAATCTCATTTTAAGTTAGCTACAGTGAAAGTAGAAGAAAAGTATGTCAAAAAGCGAAGTGAAACTCCCCCACCCCCAATTGAACGCGCTGTCATGGTTACAGATGCAGAAACTGAAAGCACTAGCTTAGCTGAAAAGGGGACAAGAAAAGAGATTGTTAAACGCGGGCAAATTCCTGAGTCCGAGAGAAAAACTCTACGTCGTCAACAGACCAAGAAGGTTCCTGAACAGGTTGAAGAAAAGAAAAGACTGGTATCCCTTCCGGATATATTGAAAATACTTAGCGAAACAAGTAGAGAGTTAGAAAAGCTACATAGAGGAGAAGATAGTGATGATTCAGAACAACTCTCGGTTATCAGTGAATCGCCTGTCAACAAAGTCGATGCAGAAGCTGTACTACTAAAAGCAGAACATTCAGTTAACAAACCTACCGTGAATCGTCTTAAGAAAAGTTCGCCTATTAGCAATATAAACAAAAAACATAATTCAAAAGGGAAGGTTTCTCCTCCGGGACATAGAAACGAGAGAAAGGCGAGCATCAGCATTAGTATTAAAGACATTGACGAACTTGAAAAAACACAGGAAAGGCGAGAAATAGTGGAGAAACCCGGTGACAGTAGAGAAGGTAGCATGTCGCCATTAAATACGTCTCTCATTAGCGAGGGGTTCTCTGTTGAGCAGTTCAAGGAACAAATTAGACTGAGAGTGATGGAACAGATGAAAGCTGAAAAGGAATCAGCCAAGGCAAAACGAGAAGATCGAAAAGACAATAAATCTGACTTCAAGGGTCCAATCACCCCAGCTTATGTTCGCAAATTACTCTCCCGACCACTGGAAGAGATTAAAGACGCAAGAGCAAGAGATTATTTACAAGATCTAAAACCAGATGATGTTATTCTGTCCACACTGACTAACAGTGATGTTCCAAATCCAGCAGACTCTTCAAGTGAAGGGATAAGTACTTCAACGGGAAACGGCACATCTGAATCATTTCCTGGTACCTTCATTGTGCAGATTCCTCCACCTACACCCGTACATCGGTTGCAAGTGGAAGCTGGGATGCACCATTGGCAGGATCTCTCGAGCCTCGAGAAAGTATCCTCTGACGTGGACTTTCAAGAAGTCAGCAGTGAGGTTATCATTCAGGATGGAATGCTGTATCGTAGAATGAAAAAATCAATTGATGTACTTGAATCAGCGGTTCGTCCATATGATGATGCTAAGCTACCGACTACTTGTGATAGTACGAATAAAACAATAGGAGAAGACAGCACGAAGAGATCAACCCTGCCTCTTTAAACTCAGGATAATTTAAGGTAGAAGCCTACTCATAAATTAAAATATCCAGAATTTATTCATTCTGCAATAAACTGTACTCCAAGGCAATATTGACCTAAGAAGTTGGGAGTCATCAGCCTTTTTTTCGAGAAAATGATGGTTGTATTTTAGTGGAAAGTCGCCATTTTGACACTATTATAACACTTTTAACATAGGTTCCTATGGCAGAGATATCACGCAATCTCAAAATCTCGCCTGGTGACATAGGCTGAAAAAATTATATATTGTTAATGATGGAGTACTTTTTGTTGTTCTGAATTATCTAAAAAATCCGGGGTTTTAAAAGTGTCAAAAAATAGATTTTTTCTTTAACGTTATGTTCTATGGAATTGTTCTAAAAATAGTAATTTTCAAGAAATATTAGGACACGTTTCTCAAAAAGCTACACTTAACACACAAAATAATGTTATTTAATTGTACGATGGAACATTAGCTTCATGATTGTACATAATAAACTAATAAACATTGTCATGCGATTTGTGACCAATTTTGTCAAAAATTATGACTAGGCTTCTACCTTAAAGAGGGTCGGGCAAACACGTCTAGATTTGAAAATAGTCAGTGTTGCAGAATGTCTAGTGAGGTTTAATAGAGGAAGAATGTGAAAGTTAATCTCCTCACATCGAAGTGAACTCGACTTAAACTCTGAGGAAAGCTGATCAAATCAGATTGTATAGTTATATATCATTCAGTTCATACATTCGGGAAGATTTCTTAATAAGCATTCAATCACCACCCATCTCAATATAACAATATGAATAAAACACAATTCATCGGTAATTGCTGGAGGTGTGATCATTTTATTGCAATAATATGTTTCAAAAGCGTTTGATGTACGTACTTGTAAATGATTTGTCTAATCTTCTTAAATGTCTGCTATAGTACAACGTATAGATTGTGTTTTCATGCGTTTGTATCAAACGCCACTGAGCATGACTCAATGTGATTAATTATTCATGAGACTTTCGATTCGTAAACACAAAAATAGCAACAGACGAATTTATATTTGTTGTATTGTTGATATTTTATCAAGAGTTTTGGTCTGGTAATACACTTTCTTAATATACATATCAAAATAAATAAATGTCCCAGCAAAGTAACGCAGCTGGAGATAAATATGTTCTTATCGTCTGTGTACGTTGTCCATATTTGATCTATTCACGCGCTGTGCCATGTTCTATGATGACGTCATTGTCGCATACGACTTGTTTACCGCTTCCATGTCACTGAGAATGTTCTAGAACCGTACTGTGTCTGGGTGGAATATTCTAGATTTGTTTTAGAAACTGGTTGAATAAGTAATAGAACACTGTAGGAGGCAATAGAAGGTAATGGAACATTCTAGAAATTTGTAGTAAGTGCCAGACTCATTATGTATGCTGATGTAATGGTCTATTTATAGACAGTGGAGGTATATATAGGGGAGTTGTTCAGCACTGAGTTCAGATCGGAGATCTCGTTGAATTGTGTTGGAGTTTAAGTATCTAGTTATTGGAGGTTTGGAGTTTTACCGCGTTATTGTACTTGATGTTTGCAGAGTATAATAATACCAGTACCAGTTGAAACCTCATCTATTGGCTCCGTGTTCGTATGTTATCATCGCCACCAGGGAAGTCTTTATGTTACTGTTGCCATTTTGGTATTTGAACCATCACACCTGTACTATACCAATTACGGTAATATTACGTTGCGTGTGACAGTCATATTAAGATCAAGCCTTTATGAACACAAAGATCCCTCTCCCTTCATTTTTGACAACTTCAACTGAAACGAATAGTTTCTTTTGGCCAGTGGAATAATATTGAAACATTTTCAAATGACGTCAATGCGCACTCCGCTTATTTGATTGGCTGTTTGGATTCAACTGCTGTTTACAGTTATTAATATTTATTTTAAAAAACGGGGATTGGCACGAGAGGGCGCTGTTCGATTTGGATATAACGTTTCAAAACCAGTCGTTGTAGGTCATCGTTGAGGTGGCAGCGTCCATTTCAGGTAGACGAAATTATTTCAGCGATTTTTTTCACAGAATATTACTCAATGAAACTTAGAAACAGTACATAGATTATACGACCATAATATTGTGTTTATTACAAAACAACCAGTTTGGCGCCACTCTTGTTTCTTGCAGTAGTGAGTTCTACGGGGGGGTGTATTGCGCTCAAAATTGTTTCAAACTGCGCATGCACATAGCGAAATTCTGAGCAATAGTACTAGAGTGAAATATCTGCTCTGCATTCTCCACGAATTTCTTAACTTGCTATGATCATGTTAAAGAAAAAGAACCTAGGGTTACTTTCAACAGTTTGTTAATCAAAAATGTGCCTCAAAAAAAACACTTTTACTTCAGTTTTTCGAATTCTGTCAATTTAAACTACCATGTTGACACAGTTTTACTGAGGGTAGAAATTTGTTATTGCTCATGAATATTAATTTTTGTTTCAGCCAATTGCGTTATGCAACTCCCTTGTTAAAATGAAGGGAATGGGTTTGTTGTGCCGATAGTAGTTATTAATATATGGTCCAAATAAGCATGGAACTATAAACCCCGGGGTTTATAGTTCCATGAAATAAGGGAGCTTTAAATAAAAAAATTTTGTTGTGAAACACGCTCTCTAGAAAGTTATATCTTGACAACACGTCAGCAAACACAACGGGTGAACTCTTAATATCATCCGCTACTATTGTCCACGTTCGCATTGTCTCTTTGCATTTTATTGTGAGTACTGCCTTCTATAGGTGGCAGTGGCGACCGACGCGGCAGATTATTGACATTGACACGGGGATTCACGATATCGCTCAAATAGGATGGCGGCGGTGCAAGTAATTTACGAGCCAGCACCGGGGCAACCAGACTAACGGTTGTTACTTTAATGGACGGGAATGCGGCTCTGTGATATTCATCCATCATCTTTCGATTCAACACCTCTGTACAGGCGTGACATGACGTGGGACCCAACACGTCACAATACTGACCCAGTCGCTGCTTGATACCATGGGGGCAGCTCGTATTACGTAATAAATATGGATATTGTTTAGTTGTCAGGAGTATTTTCCCGCGTTCTCCGTTTTGATACCAATAACGTTGTTCTGCAATAGTGTACCTCTCCCTTGTTTTAGGTCTGTGGAAACGCTGGAACATTTCTCGTGAGAAGGTGTTCTTTGCTGGAGCAGGATTGAGTGGAGCCTCTTTCGCGACTTCTTTATCTTGTTTAAGTGTTTGTTTCTTCTTCATTATGGTGTTGGCAGTGTTATAACCATACCTATTGTTAACGGAAGAGATATAAACTTGGTATTCGAGAACAACAACAAAAATCTAACTCTTTAAAACAAGTTAACGAGTTTGCATGTATTGACTACTTGACTCTAAATATGAGCAACGATCGATATTCTTCGTTAAAACCGAGTTTGCAATTTACACGTGAATAGTCAAATGACATCACAGTGGAACTCACATATCGATGACATACTCATGAAATAGTATGACTGTAGTCGAAAGGCAACTGAAATTCATCTCGTATAAAAAAAGTTTACTAGTTTAATTACCCGTGTGTGAATTTCTAAAACACTAAAAGACTGCATATTTGGTGCGACCAGACACATACATCATACAATATATTAAGCTATATATTAATCTTTAGTACAAAGCCTGCGGCCCGAGAATACAGATTGCATGAACAAATAAATAAAACAGTTACAGTAATACCTGCAAGATATATCCGAGACTGTCTTTCACTTGGGCCAGGTTTATGCTGCAATTTGAATGTTGTATCAAGGCGTGGGCTCACAAGAGGCACATATACATGCTACTTATGAGATGGTATATTTGTATTTCAACATGTTTTACTTAATATGATATCAGAATAATCAAGCGCCGGACTTGTCAGTGGAAGTTTAGCAAAAACAAAATGTTTTTTGAAATGATAGGCATTTAGATGAAGTAGTCTGGGTCAACTTTTCGGTCATTATCAATACCAGTGTGGTTGAATATGCTTCATTTTTTTGGTCTTTCAACTCCTGTGACGATGTTGTTTACTCGTAGATTTAGATAACTAGACAAAGCCCTCTCTTTTGTTTTTTAAATTTGTGGTTATTGGCCCAATGTGCCCACGTGTAAAATTGCCCTGCTTTTCGAGTTGTTACTAGTATATTGCCGTATGTAGGATGTGTAATTGCAGTATATCGTCCAATGTCATTATGCACAAGTTGTTGACTCAAAGATTGAACTAAAATGAGTTACTAATATCAAAACAAAAAGGGTCCTTTCTTTAAAAAACGCGTGTCAAAGAGTGTTTAAATACTTCTAGCACACTCTAGCCGTGCTGTTATACTCATCGTTGTCATTGGAGGGACAATAGAGAACAACGTTGAGCAACTAGTGGTTCTGACCTTACACGGACATATTCAATAAAATGTGAACTCGGCAATTTAAATGACGTTTTCTGACACCTCACATCCCGCGTCCCTAGTGATTTGTCGCTTTAGGTGTATTCATACCATTTACCTGCGTTTACCCATACAACCAACCCAACCCTCCACCCACCCACCTACATACGCACCTGTTTCTGAAGGATTTCATTCCAAGTCTGTTTGTAATGTGCACTCTGGCTTTTCTTATATTCAGCCATGGTGGTCGGCAGTTCGCGACGGTGCCTTCCGTTTTTCTTGTCGGGGAATAATTATCTGCGGGAAGTGGCATCCGCTCAGCGATGCTATGTTGTGACATAGCTTGCATGCACGTTGATAAAACGTCAGGTGTTCACCTGTTCTTATTTCTTTATACAATAATAGCTTTTGCGATAGATAAACGTTTTATACCTGATATGCCGCACTCTAGTAGGGCATCGAGCTGATCGCGACAGATATTAACTAAAGTTCTACCACTCTGAGGTCAGAGAGTGAAATCGGGTGCTTTATTGGTGTTATGGTAATTTATTTTATGCAACTATAAAACATTGGATGTATTGGATGAATAAGAACATATAACTGAAGGGCGAACATACCAAATTGGATGCATTCATGCAAACGTGGCCATTGAATAGAACGGGGTTAATAAATAAACGAATTCCCGATGTATACGACAATGTATTGACATTTACGTCCCGAACACGTAAATAATCATATTGTACTCGATTGTATTTGCACTATAGCGGACGTAAATCAAATCTTATTGAAATAGTGATTCGCTTACAGACCGCTGAATGCCATTTGTTGTCAAGTGATAAGAACACAGCGCAGGGGGTGGGTGTAATAGTTTATATACAGTGTGTGGGAAAAAAAAACAACATTATATAGGAATGTCGATTTTTTTCAGTTTGAAAATCGATCGATGCTGACGTCTGGGTTGATACTCTCGAAATACTACTACTAAACGTGTTTTAATTCTCAAGTGACAAAATCAGGGTGATATTACTGGTCATCAAGTGAATACAAAATGAGATATTCAATTAATTTATGATATGTAAAGTCCTGTTAAATGTGACTACGCCCATCAATTTCCACCGCCCAAATGAATTGCTTTATACTAATATATCCTGGGCTAAAAATAGCGTTTATTGACGTGAAAGCAAAGAACGTCACAACTAACAAATATAAAGTTCCAGATTTTAAAATAAATTCCAAAAAATGTCATCACTGTGAAATTAATTATATGTCCCAACACGCAAAACAGTGATTATATTTTTACAGAATCTTATTAGGATCATGTTAAAAAATAAATATTCGAGACAATATTTATTTGAATATGACCATTACGAGCTTCCGTATATTGTTCATACATTTCTGCTGACCAATTCAAGTACACTCCATTACTATTCTATTTCGGAGTTCATAACAAAATCACGATCATATGGGTTTTGAATTTCATGTAAATAAACAATGTATTTTACATGCGTTGTATACGTTCGTACGTCGCTATGAGTCCCATATCGAACAGGGCGCAGCGCGACGACTGCCGCCCTTTAAGTTACCATTCTTCTAAGTCGAGTGTAAAAATTACAACTTCTAAAGTTCGCTCTTAAGATTGGATTATTGTGTAAAAATTACAAAATATCACTGCTGCAGATTTCTTAATATTTATTTGTCGTGTTATATTAAAACAAGTCATTGAAAATGACACAATCCCCGTTAAGTTCTCTTTGTGCTCGTCATATTAAAGCGGATGGGTTGTCGCGAGCGTGTCCTTGAAACTTGAGTTCCAAGTGGCGTATACAACAGATTGTTTATTTACATCGAAACACGTTTTTGTGTCATATATGGCCAAAATAAAAACAGCCGTTATTCAGCCATCTTTGATCTGATTATGAAACACACTGATATGTATGATGTATGTGCCAAATACGAATGAAAATGGTACATAAATTGTGGAAATATAGTAGTAAGGCCAAAAAATCAGGTGGCTGTCAATCGGCCATCCTTGACCAGATTTTGAAACAAATTGTCATGGACATGCATCCTAACATGTATAAAGTACATGTATGTGCCAAATTTGAATGAAAACTGGCAGACCACGTCCAAGATACCGCATAAAAAAACAAAAACAAGATGCCTGCCAGTCGACCATCTTTGATCCAATTGCAAAATAAATCGTCATGGACATGTATCCTAACATGTATAATCTATGTACCAAGTTTGATGACACTGACAAA